AAAGTGGGTTTTTTTTTTTTTTTTTTTTTTTTGACAAATAAAATGGGAGGATATTAAAAAAAAGCTCCTCACCTTTATCCGTTCGCTCCTCCTAGCGCTCAGCTTCAATGGCTGTCGCGACCGTGACTCTCTTCCTCACGCACTCTCGCCGTCTTCCCTATCCCTCGTTTTGCTGTACCCATTCCTCCTCCTCCTCCTCCTCCTCATTTCTTCCCTTTAGCATGTCGCTGTATCGCTCACAATCCCCTTTTCTCACTCTGTTCATTCCTTCTAGACTGCGAAGATTTCCTAGGGTTCTTGCCGTCGCCGAAAATGAAAGGAATACCGTGCTATCGGAGTCGGACTTGGTGGAGGAGGAGAAAGCTATTGGCGGAGGAGTTGGCGCTTCAGATGAGACGAAGCTCCGAGTGCGACCCTGTGAGCTCTACATTTGCAATCTTCCGAGGAGCTATGACATATCACACTTACTGGAATTATTCAAACCGTATGGAACTGTTCAATCTGTTGAGGTGATTGTCTTAGCAATTTTTTTTTCGCGATAGTGAATTTTGCTCATGACTCTATGCTGGGAAAGTCTCGATTCCTATGCTTTGTTTGATTTGAAGTAATTAAAATAAATGAAATGAAAAAGAGATAGATATGTAATAAAGAAAGTAATCGAAGCCTCAGTTGTTTGTTTGATGATAAATTCGATGATTTTTTTGTTCGTTTATGTTAGGTTCATGGAAAATTGAGCGTTTGTAGAGCGTTTGTGTCGACAAATTTTCTTTATATTTCTCACCTGGTTCGTGTAGGAAATTATCAATGGAAAATTGCATTTGTTTGCAATCTTCGGTAAATCCAATTTTCTATTAATGGCATTAAAAACAAAGTGCCGATATGAAATTTTGAAGTAAAGCGCATTTGCATTTCCCAAATCCCTTCAATCCAAAAGTACCTATAATGTTCTCGTGGATGTAAGGTTATGCATTTGTACTAATGTGTTCTTAAATTCAATGAATTGGATTAGCAGTGCTTTGCGGATCTGTAATGTGGACAAAGAAAAAAGAACTGGAAAACAAAGAACGAAGAAAAAAAAGATGGATTTGAACTTCTTAGGTTAAGCAATACTTTGATTCAATGAACTTTAGGCTTTTGTTTGCAGGTTATTAAAGAATAGACATAAAGGGTGCCTTTTTTTTTCAAATAAAAGCTAAATACAGGCCCTGTAGTATACTTGCCACTCATTACTATTGCAAGTTTTGCCAAAGAATTTGCATCAATGAATAGGATAAATTTGGATAATCAGTTGATTTTCTATTGGATGGCTGGGCCTGGGTAGAGAAGTTTTATTATGGCTGTTGAAGAAATGTCTACTCATGAGATTCACTTTGGTCAGCTGAACTTATTGAGTAACTTTTACATCCATAAGACATGTTTTTAGTGCCATTTGACTTCAAAGATTGGATTAAGTTATGTTAATGAATGATATTAGATTAAGGCTCATCTATTGTATGTTCACATCTCCCTGGAATAAATCCTTTGTAGAATGTGGATAATCATGGAGCTTTGGATTTTATTTTCTAATAATCTATTTTGTTTAGTTCTTGCTGGTATTTTATTGGTGCTTTGGGGATGTTGTGAAACACAAGGGAATGTGTTTATTACGTGTTTATTAACCGCACATCATAGTTCATCAATATAAAATTTTGTAATGTCAAAAATCTTAGAAAGCTATTGTTAGCAGTGTAAAACATCATAATCATGGAGCTTTGTATATTATTTTCTGATAATCTATTTTGTTTAGTTCTTGCTGGTTTTTTATTGGTGCTTTGGGAATGTTGTGAAATACAAGGGAATATGTTTCTTAACTGCACATCATAGTTCATCAATATAAAATTTTGTAATGTCAAAAATCTTAGAAAGCTATCGTTAGCAGTGTAAAACATCATCATAACCTGATGCATTTCCTCCATTTCCTCCATTTTCTCATTACTAATGGTTTGACCATGCAGCAAGATCATTGGAAAGCATAATAAGTGTTTATGTTTGGACCTGTCTAGGTTTTGTTTGTGAGCCTTGGTTGAGATAATAGAGGCAATATGAACAACCATAATTGTGAGTTAAGTTGGTGTTTAGAAGAAGTTCATTGTTTTCATTAATGTTAAAGTCATTAAATGGAGCTTTGCTCTAGGTCTTTTTAGGCCATGAATTAGTTTAGATAGCAATCGACAAAGTTATGATACACAAACTGCTTTAATTTTATTCCAACGTTTGACTCATATTTGTACTATCCTTAAAGATTTACTTAATAGGAAGTATGCAAAATCTTGAAATAAAATTTAGTTATAAAATTAATTACAATAAGTTTCCCACATGGATCAGCTAGGTCATCCACGAGCACATGGATCGATGAGGTGGCATGTAAGGAGCAGATTTAGGGGCCGTTTGGGGCAGCTTATAAGTGCGGGCGGCGGTTTCAAAACGCCGCCATACCGTTTGGGTCGCGCTTTTCGCCAGCCTAGCCTGAATAAGGGTGTTTAAAAAATATTTAAAGTAATGAAGCATCGTCTTAGGGTTCGTTTGGGGCAGTTTATAAGTGCGGGCGGCGTTTTGCCAAACTGTTTGGTTCACGTGTTTCACCAGTTTATCAGAAATTACGTTTGAGTTTTTACACTAAACGCAGGCCGCGGGTCGACCCCTGCGGCCGGCCCGCTGGCCGCGTTTCAGGATAAGCAGCTTATCCTGAAACGCACAAGCTGCCCCAAACGGACCCTTAGCCATACTATATGTAGGATATATGAGCATGAATTACATGTGTTGATTTCTCCTCTCAAATATATGTTACTTGTTTAGGAAGTATCAAGTTGCTTTCAAGAATTTGATGTCTTTGCTTGCTCAAAACCTTCATATATATGTCGGCCATCTCAAGTTTTGTAGTGATATGAGGAAGAAAAATGTTACAAGAATTGAAAGTATCTTGAATGATAATAACTTCAATATTCTTGGTCTTCTTATGATACACTAGACTGACATCGATAGTGAATGTCAAGAGGAGCTTGGTTTCTTGAGGAAATGAAGGTTAGATTGAATTCCACATAGCAAGATAATTTCGGATTATGCTACATACATTGCGTTCACTTGGTAGATGATTTAGATAAATGACTTTCTTTTTTTAACTCTTCCATGTGTGTTGACCTCATTTTTAGTGAGGTCTAGTCTTCCTCTTAGGGTTTAGGATCTAGCCTTAGGGATCCCCCTTCGAGTATCTTAGAACCTTAGAAATGGGACCCGCCTCATTTTAGAAATTCAACCCGCTTCTGTACTCCTTTGTGGTTCCGCGTGTGTGGTATCGACTTCTAGCACTTGGAAGGATGAAACCGACATAAGGAAACCCAAAATGGATTCCTATAGGACCTTTCCGAGCCTTAGGGTGACCTTATGCACAATTCGCACTCCTGCGCGCACCAGCTTCGCCTCCTCTGTTACTTGTCCGATCGCCGCAATTCGCATTGCCTCCTCTGTTACTTGTCGAATGCTCGAGTAAACCTTTTGGGAGATCGATCCGCGGGTCGAAATTTTGTGAAATTTGAATTTCGACGCGTTTTGACCCGATTGTCGACGACGCCGTCCGAGCTCC